TCATCGAGACCCTCGGGCTTATTTTTGATTTCCTTCTTTCTATATTCGTATTACCATTTACTTTATTTTCAATTTATCACTTGCACCATCGCCCTTATGTCTGCAAGCCTAACTTACATCCACGCCTTCCTTCTCTTCCATTCATTTCTTTCATTAACAATCATTTCTACTCCACACTACATTTTCGGACGGGCATGATTAATTTGATCCGGGAAAAAGCGAGCTAAATATCCTTTACGTCGATACATATAGCATAGCCGAAGCCAATAACGTTGCGTTCTCTTTTCGAGTTCTCAAACTTTTCATTACTTCGACCATCGTTTTCACTACCTTTCAAACTAACGACACTAAGATTATTCGATGATTGCTCACCATGAAAAAAACATAAATTTTGATCTTTTTAAGAATAAACTATATTAATCTGTAAAATATACAGTAAACGTTAGAGTAGGTGAATTAGAATAATCACTACATTATAAGCCTATTCCATATTACTTCGCAGGTGTATAGAATGCTTTTACCAAATTAAAACTAAATACATATTTAAACAATACATAAATCACCCTTCTATCACTTCAATCAATTATTACCTCTCCACCAGCCAAGCAAACAAAAAATGACGTTCCAAAAATATAAAACAAAGAACACAGAGACCAAATAATACTCCAATCATTACCAGTAATTTCTAATATCCAACCTGTTAATGCTACACCAAAAAAAGCTGGGATTACCGCACAAGTATTTCCTAAGCCATATATTAAACCCGCATATTTTGGTGCAATATCCATCTATAATTGACAAGGATATTAATTGAATTAGCAAATAGATGAATAATGAATTAATTGATTAATTACAGTATTAACTAATTACCTGGGATACATTTACACTCGAGACTTGGAATGAATATAGTGCAAATCCAATTGATATTATTAATAATCCTTGAAGCGAAGTTTTTGCAAGATACGTTACCTGTTAATTATATATACATATATGTCAAAAAATAAATAAATAAATAAATGACACGGCTGATGTAGGAATTGGCAGATGCAAAAATTTAGGGTCTTGATTGAAAATATAACGGCTACAAATTACACGTTCTTTTTTATAATTCTAAATCCTAGCCAAACCCTATAAAAACAGCTAAAAAATTTTAAATTTTCATATTGAAAATAGGTATGAACTTCAGCATCAGCCAATTTCATCAACAGCTGATACAACAAAAAAACAAAAATTTACAATTTTGTAATTTTACTCATGCTTACAATTAAAAGGGATATTGATATTCCAAGGGTTCCAATTAGATTAACAGACTTTCGTACAGTTAAAACACTAATTTTTAATCGATAAATCGCATAATCACAAATATAGCCGGATGTAAATCCCATTATGATGTATAAAAAATAAGGTAAGGCTAAGAATTTGTAATTTATTAAAATTTATAAATATAAAATGAATATATGACGGTATTAATAATATTAAGATTTCTTACCAGTATAATATCCAATTAAATTAATGTCTACATGAAAATATTCATAATAAAATATTGGTAACCAACTAAGAAGAATAAAAAAGCCCCAGGAATTACAAAATTGACCAAGTAAAATTGCCCACACTTCACGGCGAGAAAGTATTAATTTCCAAGGAATTTTATTTATATAACGTGGCCTTGATGAAATTTGATTCTTTGGCAATAACGAATCATTTTCGTTTTGAAGAACCCCACGATCATCATCAGTAATCGTAATATATTCTCTGGATCCTGATTGATAATGTCCAAAATTATCCTCGGAATAAGAATTTGATTTACTTTCCAAAATCCAATCTAATTCTTCTTTGCTGATTCCTGAATAGTCTCTAGGATCACTTTTTCCATAAAAATGCCAAATAATGGACCAAATAGAACCAACAGTTCCAAATACCCAAAAAATACTTTCCCAGCCAAACCGACTAGAACCCAATATATTTGAAATTGGCATAGCAATTACCATACCGATAAAATTAGAAACACATATTATTGAAACAGCTCTAGATCGTTCTTCAGGTGGAAACCATTTTGTGATTAAAGATTGAATACATGGAAAAGCTGCACCTTCACCAACTCCTAAACAAATCCTGCACAGTATAAGACAGTAGATGTTTATTCTGGCAGAAATTGGGGTAAGTAAAGTAAAGAGTGACCAAATTGCGGCAGCTGGAATAAATAGTTCGGAAATAACAAGCATAAATATTTTTCTTTAAACAGTATTTAAATTTTTCTTAGAATATTACTCACCTATGCCTAATACTATCCTACCACCAAATTTATCAGTAAGCGCACCACCTATAACTTGAGTCGTAAAATATCCAAAATAAAATGATGACGATAC